CTCCAGCAAGCAGCCCCAGATGGATGGCTCACAATGTAGCACAGAGAGCTGTCTGCTGAGAATGACTGAAGCCCCCTCATTCATTCCCTCTCTTCACCCACAAAGTCAATATAAGCACCCCCTCTCCCCAAACATGCAATGGGATTGCAAAAGCAATGTCAATATAATGCAAATTATATGCCAATCAAAACGGGCGTTCGGAACATGTAATTGTGTGGTTAAAATTAAATAGGCCATGCTCAAAGCTGAAATTTGGGGTCCGGGCAAGGTGTAACAAACGTATGATCCCAGCTACATGGAAGACACAGTCAGGCAGATGGCAGTTCAAGGCCAAGCAGGGCAAAAGTTAGTGAGATTCTCATCTCAAAAACAAGCTCACCCCTATTAATCCTAGGTACTCAGTAGGCTGAGAACTGAGGATCTTGGTTGGAAGTCAATGTTGTCAGGAAAGTCCAGGAAACTTTTATCTCCAATTAAGCACCAAAAAAGCCACAAGTTGGGGGGGGGAGCTGTGGTTCAAGTGGTAGAGCACTAGCCTTGAACAAAAGAGTTCAAGGACAGCACCCAGGTCCTGAGTTCAAGCCCCAGAACTGGCCCCAAAAAGAAAAATAATAAGTAACAAGCTCATTGTGGTGGCGCCATGTCTTCAATCCTAGCTACTCAGGAAGTGGAGATAGGAAAATAATGCTCCCAAATTAGCTAAGGTAAAAGCGCAAGACCCTATCTGAGAAACAAAGGATAAAGCATGTGAGGCTCAAAAGGGGGAACACTTGCCTGGTAAACAATCCCCAGTCTACTTAAAACAAACACTGATAATTTGCATAAAAGCCCTAAAGCTAAAAACATGTTTATAATACATGTGAGAGTGTGCACAGGAGAGAGAGGTTGTTCAACAGTGTTTTTCAGTCTGTAGAAGAGCGAAGCACTCACCAGCAGGCTGACAAATGGGAGTGGCATTGTCACACAATATGGAAAGGGAATTCTGAATTGGCCTGAGGCTACAATGTGCCAAAATATGCTAGAATTTCCCAGACTTAGACCTAGTCGAAAATACCAGTAAGAATCCAATTTCCAAAAAGCATGTCCCTATAAGAACCCTTGTAAAGTTCCACTTCCTTTGTTCTTAAAATGTAGCCATGGTATCATTAGTTGTGGGGGGCAAAGGGGAGTGGGGGAGGGAGGTTCAGGTGTTATTCACCCACTGCTCTCAGAAGAGCAGAAAGTTATCTTCAGAGAATATTACTTATGTAATCCTTCCACAAATCTTATTAGATCTTACATTAACTCCAAAATCAACCCAATGGAAATGAACTCTGTCCCCAGGATTCTACCACTATGTAGAATAGCATAAGGTTATTTCTAAAACAATCAGCAAGGCAATTACACTTGACTTTCTAAACAGATGACTTTTATTTTCTATCTTATGCAAGAAGTCGCTCTTTACACAAGGTAATTGGCTCCAGAAAAGCTATGTCACACCTTCACACAATCATCTTATCTTTGTTAAAGGGAATCACCCTGCAACATCCATCAAACCAAACTCACTTTTCATAAAGAATAAAGAAGTGGGTGGACACTTGCCACTCAATCCTGAAGTATTAGCTACTGGGGAAACAAAGAGTCAGAGGATCATGTTTCGATTCCAGCCTGGAAAGTTCTTGACACTCTATTTCAAAAAGTAAACAGCAAAAGCATGGCTGGAGTCATGGTTCAAGTGGTAGAGCACCAGACTAATGAACATGAGATTCTGAGTTAAAAGCCTGATAATGAAAAGAAAATGATGGAACAAAGTGAAACGGTTTAGAAAACTCAGGCTAGATGAGATACAGTGTTTAAATATGCATGCAACTCTGGAAGGCAACATCTATGTGATGGCATCTTAAATTTGTCAGACAAGTGCCATATGTGGTAAACAGGAAGAGAAGACTAAGGTCATAAATGCTGGAATCTGCATGCAAAGTAGGGGAAGTCCTGAGTGCATACTGTCTGTTAGCACCTTACTATCAAACCCAGACATAAAGGACACTTTTATATATAGACAAATGTCTGCTTTGGAAAATATAAAGCTAAGCCATTTCTGTTGAACCAGTTACCATTCTTGAATAGGTAGTAATCCATTGGCATCTGTTCATTCCTACTAATTGAGAATCAACCTGAGGTCAATATTCCTTTCACAAAAACTTCCAGATTTCATTGACGACATTCCATGAATGAGGCCATGGCACATTTGTCTTATTTAGGTCAAAGGTAGGTAGGAACCTTATAGCATGAATGTCACCTAGTTGATTATTCTTTATTGATAACTGCCATGCCCTTTCGCGTAAGATTCAACCCCTGATCTTTTCTAGCTTCTTTCCTGTATTTTTCTTTCTTCTTTTCCCTCCACTAACTTACTTCATCTTTTCTCCTTTATTCGCAATTTCCCCCAAGATTTTACAAATGCTAAGCATGAGTACATCTGACTGTGCTAGGAACACTTAACTTTTTACACACTAAACTACCAGGAATTATTAGCAAAGGCAAATGAATAAAATGTCAGATAGGTAGCTCCAATTTGAAGATGTATGTGAGATGAAATGACAAATCACAACCCTACGGGTCAGTTGATATGGAAAACAACCATCTGTAATGTTAAATAGGCTAGTATTCTAGGTGGAACAAACTGGCTTTGACACAAGTAACAAAAGAGAAGTCTACCCAAAGAGCCTAAATGTCAATCCTTATAAACATTCAATATAAGAAATTTGAGCATCCAAATATGTGTATATAAATTTAAATTTATGCATATTATAAAAATAAAAATATATATTTTGATTTATATAATATATTTTTATATTGTAAGTATAAATTCATATATATTTATTTATAAGTTTATATATACAAAGTCATAGACTGTACATGTATTACATCTTGCAATTAAAATGCGTGGCTTCATTTCTACATTATCATTCAATAACCTAAGTCCTGGTATTTTCTTCAAGAGAGAGAGAATGAGATGAGCACTTAGGTCATGTATAAGCAGAAAATTCAATGGCATTGCTTACAGAATGAAGTTCAAAATGCATCAACCCACGTGTAGGTATATTAAAAACAGTTTTTTAAAACAAACAGCAGCCAACTGACATTTTCTCAGTCCCACTCCTAGTACTTTATTATACACTAACAAATTGTCCAAGTCAGATAACATGATAGTCCTTATTCTAGACTGAAACACAATCTGCTCTTGGCAAAAGTAAAATCAAATAATCAGAGAAAGCTGCACAGATAAGTTGTTGTTTTTGTGCCAGAAAATAATTGTCCCTGCATGACAGAGAGGAGCTTGTCAATGATTAAAAAAAAAATCCGTACTTACCTTCTGAAGATAGTGCACATTCACTGTAGAGAGAGTAACTTACCTTTCTCTCTCTTCTGTATGCAGGGTCTCTTCCTGACCATTTTTTAACCTGCTATGGGATGTATGTGTGATGAGGAATAAACTTGGGAGGATAAAGAAGCATTATGGCACCTGTTACAGGGAAAGTACCTTCCTAGTGAGTCTACGCAGATAAATTGGATGGAAAAGGAGACTATAGCACAATTCCCCAGGTACTGTGGATTGTCCCATAGCTGCCTGTCTCAGAATGGAATTGTGTTTCCAAATCATCATAGGGAAACAAGATTTTTAGTAACACCAAAATACTTGGCAAGAGCTAGCTGATGCCAAACCCTCCTGCAGACATCGCTCCATTTGCATGACAGAGAATAGGCTATTGCTTATACTTATATGAATAGTACCCTATAATTTTCTCTCTAGATGGCCACATTCCCTCTCTGTGTCTCCTTAACGTACCTTCAGAAAGCAGGTGGAGTGCAAAACTATCAAGAAAATTTGGAAATAACTACGAGATGCCTGCACATGTGATAACACTTGAGAAGTAAGAAATCAAGAAAATCCAAACAGACAAGAAGGACACTGCATTGCAATTGGCTACTCTTCCCTGTGGCATCTCATCGGATGACCTCACTCTTTGCTTCAGTGACATCATGAGCATTCTTACAAAACCAAGTAAGTCTACGTCGTAAATCAAACTCCTATCATAAAGGCTATGTTAAAAATTCAGAAGACCAGATTAGCCCGTCCTACTGAATCTGGTTCTTTTCCCCAACAAATTACCAAGAGTTTACTCATCTTTAAAATGGCCATGTTGGGAAAATACCATGAGAAGGAAGTGGGGAGACAGATTATAGATGCTCACAACATTTAAATATCTCTACCATTAGCAACAAAATCAGTTCCCCGTGAAATTAGTCCTTTCTTAGAACTAAGGTTTTTGACATGCCTGACCCTCCTTAGTAGAGAAAAAAAAAGAATCTATTCCAATATGTGTCTAATACAGATAGGTAATAGAAGATATATGATAGATAAAATAAATATTTTGCATTCAGAAAATACAAATAAATATATAAATAACAGCTATGTGTATATAAGCAAAAATACAAGTAAATTTGGAAAGACCTACAAGAACATCAAAACTTTCTAATTGGAAAGAAAAACTCTTGAATACCTTTATCCTATAGAGGGACTAATAAATCCTCTAAATTCAAACATTTTGAGAAAATAACTATAGTCTTCAAATACCCTCTAAATTCTAGGCAATGCAAATGGGATCTTAGAATTATTATTCAGGTGTTTCAACTAATCAAGAAGTTAACTCTTTATATAAGAAACATAACCTAAATTGCTTCTTTGTTTCTCAATCATGGGTATCCTAATCTAACAAAAAATGAGACAAAGTGTAATCTAACAACAACCAAAAAAAAAAGACAAATAGTGTTATTGAACAATGATTATCTCTTTGCTCTTACTAGAGCAAACATACTAGTCATTTACTTTCCAAGTTCCTGGGGGGGGGAGATTTACTTGTGAATACTTCATATAAACCACCTTTTTATAACATATTGTTCCTTAAGGTGTATCCAAATCTGTTCAATCTATGAATCGTGTAAAAGGAAGTACTCACGGTCATTACACTGGTTTCCAGAATAAGAGGTCATTGAGCAGTCACACGTGAATCCCTCCCACTGCTGCATACAAACTCCTTGGTTGGCACATGAGTCTTCCTGACAGGTAGTACTAGGTCCTAGTAATACATGAGAAGAAGTAGCGGGGAGGAGAGGGAGACAGAGAGAGAGACAGAGAGAGAAAGAGAGGGATGAAACATTAGTTGCATTCAAAGAAATCAACCAAACTTATCATCCTCATGCCCCCATCCACTCAAAAACACAACCACCAAAAACTGGCAACTCAATCACATGCAATAAGGAGTCAATATATACAAAAGATGACAGAAATCCACACTTAGCCACGAAATATCAACAATTACACACAGAGGGGAGAGGGCTGAACACACTGTTCTCCTGTAGGCAGACTTGGCAAAAGAGCTTTGTCTTAAACCTTCAACTAGAAAGATGTTTCATTTGGAACACAGTTTTTGTTCATGAATAAAGCTGAAGTGAGTGGAAAATTGTATTCTCATGATTCTAATATAATACGATACAATGTTTGTTTCTGAAACAAAGTCCCTAAGTCTACTCTGAAAGTTTTTTTTAAAGGTGTTTCATGATCAAATAGAGGAGAAGAAAGAACCCAGCATGTACTGTGTTTTGTGGGTGATCAGCATTAGATAGCAAGCAATTTACCCACTATGCCTTCATAAATTCTCCAATGATGCTAACCAGTAGTTAGTATGACTTCTACTTCGTAATCTCTAAAACTGAGTTTAGGGAGGGAAACTGATTTGCCCAAGGCCACCTACTTCTTCAAAACATGGCAATGTCTGCCTTACCAAGACTTAACTTAAAATACACAGCAATTCTCAAGGTGAAATCCTCAGAGCAGTAACATCTGGAAATGTCTTAGAAACAGACATTCTTGAGCCCTTATCTCAAATGTGATGAACTAGAAAAGATGGCAGAGGATAAAAATCTGTCTTCACCAGCTGCTTCTGACCCAGTCTAAAGTGTGAGGACTATGCTAGTACACCTTGTTTCTGCTCAGGTATTTTAGAAGCATGTCCTCGTAAGTGCAATATGCAAACCTACAGAACGCAACAGAGCATGGTTTGGATATTCAATGGTGTGATGCTTTTCATTTCTATCTTTACTATTTTTATTTCGTGTGTTTCATATGCTTATGATCTGTAAGAGTATAATGGCACACGCAGGTAATTTATTATACCAATTATGTAGGAATTCTCAACATTTTCTTTTCTTTTTTTTCCTTTCTTTTGCAGTATTTGAATTCGGGCCTTCTCCTTCCTAAGCTAGTGTTTTACCACCTGAGCTGTACCCCTAGCCATTTTTTTAAATAGCATCTTTGGTTTACGCGTGGGCCAGGCTGGACTGTGATACACCTACTCATGTTTGGCTTGTAACTGAGATGACAGGCTCATGCCTGATTGGTTGTGAATTTCCCTCTCCCCCGCTCAACTCCCCCACCCCAGCCCAGGGTTGGCCTCAACCTACAAACACTTCAATCTCCACCTTCCAAGCAGCTAGGATTATGAACGTGAGCCATACAATTTTCCTCAAAATTATTTTCTGATTATGAGTAGAAAATTTAAAAACTGATGATTTCAGCCTTAAAATCTTTCTGCTAATTGGGCATCTCTCTTTTTCCATTCTATTTTTCTCCTCATTTCTGCCTGAACTTTGAGATTATACAACCCACCTACACCTTTGGAGATGTCTTAATATTCATTCACAAACCTTCATGGCTTTCCCAGACAGCTTCAGCGAACAAGGCTGATACATTTGACTCATCAAATGTATTAGTCAAGAGCTAATGGCTTAGCAATACTTGGCTGAGTGGGGTAGGGGGAGTATCCATTGTAATTACTGCAAATTTTGAGATTTCCAAGCTTCGCCTCACACAGGTACAGAATATTAAAATATAAGCATGAACATTCCAAAGAGATACAGGACTACAAAGTATTTGCCTCTGGATGGTGAGACATTTTGTATTTATTCATGAAGGGTGGAAACAGTAAAAGCCATCACTCCCTAAGACAAAGCTATTAGGATGACTTAAGAAGGTTCAAGACCATTACTAACACTGGGGGGAAACGGCACTGCTGCTGGGTTTCTGCAAGTCCTATTTTCCATGTGTTTCCCCCATGGAGAGATGAAAGGAGGAACATGGTCATGTTCTCAGTGGGTCTTAAACCTGAGCATTGTGTCAGACAAGTTTCATTAACAATGGCAAATCAGGACAACTTCTTTCAGAGGATAAAAGCTTCTGAGAAGTCCACAGGACTCCCTGACCAAACAGCTCTCACCAGACAATGGACTAGTAATTCAATTGTACTCAAGAATCAGCCACACATGGAAGGCTTTCTCTTGAAAGGCAAAAACTTGGGGGAAACACAATAACTCTTTGCATGTTGATTGAATCAGAAGACAAAGACTTCTGCCAGGCTTTTTTCCTCCCCTCTAACTGCCATGTTTTAACTCTTTTCTAAGGACCAGCCTCAACACCTCTCCCTAAGAAAACCTGCTCCAGTCACTCCAAAAAAAAGAATTCTCCTCATTCTTGGAGGCCACAGCTCTTATAATCTGCATTATGTGTTTCTTTGTATAGTATCTAACTTAGCATTTTATGATTTTGCATCATTGTCTGCTTATATAATCGTCTAATTGTGTTATCTTTTTAGGATTTCTCATTAAAAGATTGAATTCTGTGTGTGTTGTTAGAAATCATGTAACACGCTTTGGTTAGGTCCTTTCTATGTGAAGACTACTGTGCAGACCCCGAGAAAGTGAGCCAGCAGATGTGAGGTATCACAGTACCAGTAATTTCTTTACTGTCTGGCATATCACAATGAAATGTAAGTTCGAAGCCCCGCCTCTCTCATCCCGCCTCTCTCATTCACCTTTATATCCCTAATTCCTGGTGTATTTGGAATGCAGTAAGGACTCAAGAAATGTTATTGAAGGATTAAAGAACAGAGGAATTAAAGAGTGGAAGGAAAGGAGAGGGGAAGGGAGGTAAGAAAGGAGGAAAAGGGGAAGGAAGAGAAGTAGGGAAGGAAGATGAATGAATTACTTTAGAACTTAAGACAAAAACGACTTTCCTAACAAAAATTTATTTACCTAGAATTAATTACTTAGAATTTATCAAAATCAGCTACTATAAGCAATCTTTTGCTTGAAGCCAAATGTCTTAAAAAATAGGCTCGGAATGGATGGAATTTCATTGCACACAATTCTTTCCTCTTCTGATTTAACCACTGGCTGCATTCAGTCTTGCCAGAAGCAGAGACAAAGGACCCCTTTGTGAACACAAGCCTGGCCTAGTCTGAAATCACTAAGTGTTGAATGAACGAGAACTTAGTTTTGAATCCAGAACACATTCTAGATCAGAATTTTACTTCACCTTATTTAACTCACATTCATTTCAAATCAGTATATATTGTATAATATACACATAATAGCAATGACTCAACAACAATAAGAAACACACCCTGGGTCAGGGAGTTTCAACAATACTTTCAACCATAATTCTCACATAATATTTATTATATGCTACACACAGTCCTAAGTGTGTTTACCATAATAAATCAGTTAATGTTCCTAAGTACATGCTAAAGAACTAGTATTAAAAGATAGGGTGCCAAGGTGGCTCATGCCCATATTCCTAGCTACGTAGGAAGCTGAGATCTGAGGATCAGAGTTTGAAGCCAGCTCAGTTAAAGTCCCCATGAGACTATTATCTCCAATTAACCACTCACAAATGGAAGTAGAGCTATGGTTCAAGTGGTAAATCACTAGCCTTGAGTACAAAGAGACTAAGGGACAGCACCCAGGCCCTGAGTTCAAGTCCCACAGCTGACAAATAAAAGAAAATAAAAGAAAAATGGAAATGGAAGAAATAAATGATTTGGGAAATAATTGGCTGTTGGTTAATGCAGAAGGCAAGAACTTCACAAAAGTAAACTGAGGTACATGAATTTCTTCAAGCTCTTAGCGGTAGCAAGTAGTCAGATGAGGCTTGAACTGATGCTAATTCTACAGCCTTCTTCTGTGTGTGGCAAAGCAGAAGAAATTGTGGAGCTATTGGTTTAACAAAAGCAAATTAAATAAGGTATTTCTAACCTATAACCAGAGAAAGATAAGACAATTTTAAGCTAAGCTCTTTTAAGATATTTTAAGATAGGGATGTGGATTGATTTAAAAGGATAATTTCCAATGCTATTATAATTCAAACTTCAGTTAAAGCTAAACAGGAGTATCTACTTTTGTCCAATTATGTGAACAGAAAACTACTAAATTCATAAGAAGATCTAAATAATCTTACTTTTTCTAATATACTCTGCCAAATCAATGTCAAATTTTAGACATTTCAAGGTAACACAAACCTTTAAGGATTATATATGAACAAAGTCAATCCCCTCCTCATTATTATTGATAGCTGAAAACTTCAGAGAGGCCAAGAAATACTTCTATAAAGACAGGGTGTACCACTTTTGGATTCGATATATAATCAAAGTTCACAACGTCACATTTCCATTTGAGAAATGATAGTCACTTCTCTTCATATAGTAGAGAAAGTAACAGAACAAACCAAAGGATGCCTGAAAACACAAAACAAGCTGAGAGTGATGTTAATACTTTTGTTTCTAACCCCCTGCTCTGTTTACTACTTTACTGAGAACCATAAAATTGTGTCTTGTTTCTTTTCTGTTTTTTTTGTTGTTGTTGCTGTCAGATGATGATTTGACAGCTGTGACCAACTTCTCATGGTTCTTGAATCTGGAACTGTTTTCTCCTCTGTAAGCATTGTCCCATACTGCCATTTCGTGCCTGATACGCCTCAAATATACCTCCGCGTCAGACACAGACATCAAAAAAGTGCAACCTGCATAGGACACAAGTATCACAGTGTAATTTCTCTACATTATTGCCTGGACAAGACTTCACATAACCTACCTCATAAATGTCCCTACTGCAAATGCATAAATATTGCTATACCAGCAATAATCCTTTTCATTTTTTTTTTACCTTGAAGCCAGAACCTCAGTCTTGTCAATGTTCAGCAAGGCAGCAAAACTACTCTTAACCAAGAATGTTTAGCTGAGGCTTC